ATATCGAAGTCCAGTTTAGTTGTTTTCCCTATCAAAAAAGTCAAAATACAGAAGAGAAACTCTGTTGTTGAAAGCTGAAACAGAGCACTGACCAGTCTTTGGTATTTTGGTTATATCTCGGTCCGCAGAACTCCAAATGGGATGATTATTGAGGCATTGGAAAACTAACTCAAACAGGTACAACTTTTGTGTTTTGTACAAGAGCCAGTTTGGCCTCCATCATCGAGAAAATGTCAGTTGAAGTGAGGTCAAGTGCATAGAAGTGAAAACGCGACTTGGCAATACATGGGTTGTAGTCACTTATTCTCACCTGATTGCTACAATTTACTCTCATCAACTTGCCTTACTTTCACACAACTTTTTCAGCTCAATTCCAGCTAGCAATTCCGGCTGTATCTAACCAAGAAAGGGTGAAAAGTTGGAGAAACAACTCATGAAAGTTTTAAGAGTAAAAAATGTCAAGTAGAAACAACTCATTTGGCTCTTGAATCTTCTATAAATAGCAGCCTTTGGAGATCATTTTCACAACTTTGGAAGGCTAGAGAAACTTACCAAAAATGTAGCTTTTACTAGAGTTTCCTTAGTTCATTAGTTAGACTAGTATAGTATAGTTAGCGTAGTGTTTCCTTCTTGTACTTGTAGTTAGATTTGAATGAAGATTGGAGGAACAAAGATTGAGAGGTTGATCTCATGTGATAAGGGTGACATCTCTCCTATCACTTTCTCTTTTGTATTTAAATTCATGTTTAGCTATAATACAAGTTTGGATTTGTTTTTATTCATGTTTTGCTAAAGTGTATGTCTAGAGTTATGGATGAACTTGCTATATTTTGTTAGTGATGTTTATTTGGTTATCTGATGATGTTATTTTGAGCAAGTTATTTATCACTTTTGATTTTCTAATCATGATTAACCGGCCATTAGTTGTGATTATCTAAAGGTGTTAAGTTTGCAATGAGAATTGAAATTTAACACTAGTTCAAGAAATTGATAAACCTAGGGAGTTCACTCACGAGAGTAGAGGTCCACCTATGTGGCTTTAGTGACTTGTTTCATGTAATTTCATAGAAGAAAAGAGCTTGTAGTTAATTTCATAACCACGAGAATCGGTATGACTTAGTTACAAGTATAGTTGATTCACTACGAGAGTAGGTTTCACATACATTCGGAAATTACGCCATAATTAGCCAAGATAATATCATTCAAGTAACCGGTAATGTCATTTAAAAGAGTAGTAAGGAATTCCATATCTCTAGGAGTTTTCTAGTGTTAATTTTATTACTTTTACTTCATACTTATAGTCTAAATAATAAAGGAGTTCGAAAAATATTGGTAGTTGAAATCTTTCCTGTGGGATCGACCCTTAATATTCTATACTCAATCGCAACTCGTATACTTGAGAAAAATCACGTGTGGGGTATTTAAGAGTTTATAAATGTAAAATTTACTTGCAAATGAGTTAATTATATATGTATACCCCGCGCACGTCAAGTTTTTGGCGCCATTGTCGGGGAAGATTTGTCAATATCGATGCTAAGAACAACTTTATTAATTTAGACATTTTTACTTGTTTTTGTTGTGTCTAGTGTATTAATTTGTTATATATAGTGTCTTGTTGAGTCTTTATTTGTATATTTTTATATGTTTCGAGTCCTCTATTTTTCTTGACTAAACTTGTTTTTTAGCAACTTTGAAGACATGTTTAGGAATTCAAGGAGAGTAGAAAATATGAGGAGATAATGCATGAGAGAAGGAAGATCGACAATGGATGGTTACTACGTGCAAAACTCTTTAAATAGAGATAACCAAGAAATTACTGAAGGTATGCCGTTTGAAAATGGTTTTAGGAGTTTAAAGGCTAAACTTGATGTTATAATGTTACAAGTTCAAATGGACACCATTATGCATGAAATTGAGTAAAAGAGGAATGTTAATACTTTTAATTCTTATCATATGATTTGTGACTTGTGTGGAGGTTATCATGTTACTCATGCATATAGACAAGCACAAAATATAGATTATTATGGTGAATTTGGGCATTATAATTTTGTTTTGATCAATGCAACTCTAATCAGGGAAATTCTTATACTTATGGTTGGGATAATCAATGTACTTATAGTGATTTTTCATGTTTTTATGATTACCATCCCAAATGTGTCTAATATGACTCAAAACTATCTTGAAAATTGGCAATAGAAAGGTTAGCTAATGCATCTTCACCTTTGGAATTAGAAAGTGAACAATTAGCTAACGATTCTAAGTTATCTTGGGAATTAACTATAGAAAAACTAGCTAATGCAACCTCCGACCATTTTGATAGGGTTGAGGAAAGAATAGATGAATTAACTTCTCATTTTGGTAGAATACAAGAACAATTACATGTTTTGTGTGAAGTTATTTCTTTTAATGATATGCAAGTTGACCCTAGCATGAATGGTGAGCATGTGTGCAAGTGAAAATGGATTGCATTTTAATGAAATGATGAATCTCAACTGTGTTTCAATGAGAAAATATCCATTTCACATGATAGTACCTTTGGAGCTAACCTTGAACCTCAAGAGGTGAGCCTTAACGACTCATTTTTCATCTCTCTTGAGGAATGTATTGAGAATATAGGTTCTAAAGGTATTGTTGCCTAAGAAAACCATGCAGACATTCCTTTGATGAGTTTTCAAGTGATACACATTCAAGGTAATATCTCTGACTCACTTGAGATTGGTAAACCACTTCCATCTCTCTTATCATTAGAACATGTGACTTTTGCTATTAAGCCACCTTTTAATGATCCACCACGTCCTCTAATGGTGGATTATTCATTAACCAAGCCTCCTTGAAAAATGAGGTGAAATAGTCAAGCTAATGACTATAAAAAAACACTTGTTGGGAGGCAACCCAATGTTTGTTTAAGTTTATGTTATTTTGGTGTGATTTTATATTTAAATTATATGTTTAAGTTGTTTTGTTGTTTTTCATTTGTAGGTATTGAAAATAGAAATAAAAGTGACCAAATGAAGAGAAAAAGGCGAAATTTGATCAAGAAATTCAACCCCTCAATTTGAGTAAATGTTGTTTTTTATTCGTTAGAATGGGGTAAAATGCATGTTTTGATCCTTTTACATGTGTGTGCATTTCTTATTTAGACAAAAGAACAATCTATGATGCATTTTGAATAATTGGGGCACCATGTATAGTTTTAAGAAAATTGACATTTCTGCAAAATTTGCACAAGAAAATGCAAGACCCAGGAAAATGCAACTTTGACTCGCGTATTCCATAAGCAGCTTTTCATTTCTGCAACATGAAAGCAGAAAACGCGACTTCAATACGTGGCTCAAATTCGCGTATTCAGTGAAGTCGCGTATTGTCTTCTACAAACTTAAAGCAGAAAACGCGAGAACATGCAAAACGCGCCTTCAGATTGAGTTTATCTGAAGTCACGTATTAGGCTGCTTTAAAGAGCAAAAATGTAGGTTCATTTCTTTTTTCTTCTTCTTGCTTCACCTCAAGTTTTCTCACCCACATTTCACCAATCTTTTTTTATACATCATTTCCTCGAAAGAAATCATCCAACAAACATCATTTGACCTTCACAGAACCTTTTAACCAATTGAAATTCACATAAAACATTTCACCAATCGAATTAAGGCAAGGGTTCGTAGTTCTTAACTTCTTCAATTCGAGGTCAAATGGGGTGATTTTCATAGACTTTTTGCATCATTTGTATCATTTGCATCATAGACTTCAGCAAGATAAGGATAGGATTTAAGAATCACATAAGGAAAAGGGGGATTTGAACACCATATGCATTCTTTTTTTTTTGCACAACTCATAAAATACATATTTATTACTGGATACGGGTTCTCTACATGAACTTGAAAAAAACCGAGATGCAGATGGAAGCAATGAAATAAAAAGTATTGGGCTCGAGCTAATAAGATCAAGAAGAGTTATTATCGAGATGAATTCAATAGCATTTGCATCATATATGTGTATACATATATATATATTTGTTACTCATCTCTCCAAAAAAAATCAATTGTTGATGTGAAATTCATAAAATCTCTTTGGTAGATCATATTTTCATCAATAAGGAAATTTGTAGGAGTGCGCCAAATTGTTCTTCCTAATCTTGGCTAAGCTCCACTTAATTTTAATTTTTGCTTCCTAGATTTTGTCAGAAACAATATTAGTGTAGATTATTCATTGGTGGTACTTGAAAGTAATTTAGCAGTCGAATCTGTCATTCTTCACTTTCTCCATTAAATATGGCCATTGACGATTTAATTTTTCCAATGTGCAAGTTGCTCTATTAAATTTGGCTATTATAAATCTATTTGCTAATTTAGTCCTTTGAATTTGTTAGCAATGACTTTTAATTTTCTATGTCTACCCACTGTTTCTTGATTAGGAATGAGAGATATTTCCGTATATAAGTTTAATTTATCCAAGTTATAAATTGCATCCCTAGAAAATCAAGACAATTTGTTAGCATGCTAATTTCTTAGTTATGTCCCGACTTTGTTAAATGTATGCATACTTCCTAACCATTTTATCAATAATTATTTATTTTGTAATAGAATGCACCACATGCAAGGAACATAACTAAGAAATTGATTCGTACCTCCTAAAATTCATTAAGCCAAGATCATCCCTCGTTAAATGGTGAACTAAGAGATAATTTCTAAATTAGCAAGTAGATTTATAAATTAATTTGGAAGCAGCCTTAAGAGCGTGAAATTGCACATCAAGCACCAAAACGACGATGTTTAGCAGCTGAAATCAGGAGTTGATTTGTTTTTGTTAAAACTATTATCCGGTGGTTACAATCACCGACCTAATTTTTGGTGCGTCAGATTGAATCTGGAAATATTAAGTGTATAATGGATTTGCTCTCATTCTCGAAGTACTAGTAATCGATCCTCTTAGCTAGCTTCAAGAAAACATATTCTGTTGTTGAGTTACTTCTTCCAAGAAAGGAGAGATACAAATTTTTGATCAATATGGGAAAAAGAAAATTAGAAGTCAAGAAAATTGAGGACAAGAAAAAGCAAAGGGATATATTTGAAGCAAGGCAACGAGGGTTGTTTAAGAAGGCCCGCCAACTTGTCCAGTTATATGATGCAGGGGTAGCATTGATCACCATCTCTGAAGTTGGAAAAATCTCTGAATATGGTAATCCTACTCTTGATTCTATCCTCCAGCGTTATCAAGAAGCCAAGAAAGGTGAAGCAGCCATAAAAGCTAGCAATGATGTTCAGCCGCAAAAGCTAACAATGATATTCAGCCACAAGCAGAGAATCTTCCCAAACATGATGCTGATGAAACAGAGGAAAGCCCTGATGATGATGATCAGAACATTTCTGATCAAGAAATATGAGATTACAGTGAAATGGTGAAAAAGCTAGGGTGTCTAATTGCAGATTCAAAGATGAGTTCCTTAGCAACGAATTGATGCCTGCTTGAAATGGAGTTGGAGGAACTTAAGCAACTAAGGATGCAGATGGAAGAGAAGAAAAAAGTGGTGTTGGATCGAGCTAATCAGATCAAGAAGAATATGATGCCTGATCAGATGGATTTATCAACGACATTGACTTTGCCATTGCCATTGAGGACTAGTGCAGAAAAAGAAGATAAGAGCCCTGACATGATGATCAAACAGAAGCTTGAATCTAGAAACGGTTTGGCTATTCGTTTGCCTGCAGGGGGGAGCCAAAAGGATGCTACTAATCAAGAAGTACAAGATACTGGGAATGTGGTGAAAAAGCTCGGGAATTCCGCTGCAAACTCAATTATGATGCCTAGCTTGTTTAAGGATGTGCCCCCACTCTACCAACTTGAGGTAAATTTCTTGAACTTAACTTGATATTTTACATTCATCATTTGCATATCTTATGAAGTTATTAATACACTTTGAATGTTGAATTTGTGATGTTATTTGTTGGTGTATATAAGATCCCTTATGCTTATTTAACATCTCTAAGCATGTTTAGATGATCAAATGTGGGAATGTGATGATCTATGCAATGTTTCACTTTATACGCATTCCTATTTTATGATCAATGTGGTACTTGGTCTTGGAAAGTTGTTAAGCATAATTAGATGGTTCAAATTGCTAAAATGTGACTTGTTCATGAAGTTTACATGTATACGTTCATTATATGGTGACATTTTAGCCATTTGATTGCTTAATCTTCATATAGAGTCTGATAGAATGTTGACTTTTGAATATATGAAGAATGTAGCAATTTGTGTGGAATTTTAGGAGTGAAAATGTGTGAAGTGAAGTGATTTATTGTACCTTGAGTAGCTTCTTATCAATTTTCTACAGGTACATCACCAAGACAAAGGCATAGGAGTTATGGATCGCAATTATATGTTTATCAATGCCTTTATTATCACCTTTGTTTCTCATTTTTCATTCTTAGGTTTTTATCACTAATGGTTATCCAATGGAACTCATGAAGTTTTGGAGATAAGCGGACAATGGCTCGTGAATTTTATACTTCAACATTTCGATAGCAACAATAGGGGAGTATTACTTTCTTTATCTTGGTTTTTCTTTTTACACATTGAGAACAATGTGCATGTTAAGTGTGGGGGGAGAATTGAAATTATATACATTGTATGTAATTAACTTATTGGTTGCAAATATCGGACTTATGCTTTAAAATGTATCAAAATTGGGTTTGTTGGCATGGAGTTTAGTTTATTTATAAGGGACAACTCTGTCAAAATTTTTCCAAATCATGTCCAAAATTGTAAAATTGCACCAAAAAATTTCAAATTTTTTTGAATTTTATCCAACGGAGTAACAAGTTCCATACCATTAGTAACTCAAATTCCTTCTACATTTGAGATAAATATATGTGGTTTGAAAATATTTTTTCTTATTTAATTTGGAAATGACTGTTATGTGATTAAAAATGTTGCATTTATAGGAAAATATAACGTGTAAAGTGGAGAAAATTATGCTTACATTTAGCAAATTTGATGAAATTTCTTCTCTTTACATGATTTTATAAGTTAAGTGATTAATATGGCCAATAAGTATAACACTCTTCTCATGATTATTCTTTTGAGGGACTAATTATTATCTTTGCTTTGAAAAAAAAATGGTAAAAAACAAAAAGAATAAAAAAGAAAAGAAATAGAAGGAAAAAAAAAAAAGAATAAGAGTTGTTCTAATCCAATAGTTCTTGTACTTAGTAATCGGGAATCTTTATCTACAAATATCGATTTTCGCATAAAGCGATACTTGAATTAAGAGTATGCAAAGCAACTTGAGTATATAAAGTGTTGAGTAACCGGCGATCTTCATCTAAAAATGTCGATTTTGGGGTCAAAAGACACTTTTACAATTTGAATAATATTTAGTTATATTATATAAATAAATCACTCTTTAAGTTGAATAAGAAGATGATCATGGGATTATATAGTATTTTACTGACCATATGAGTTACTTGCTTGTGAAATTGGATAAGTATGAGAAATTGACTTGAACCTGTTATAATGGCGGTATAATTGGCTTTTCTTTACTTGATATTATGAGTACTTGAGTTTAATTGAGTGATTGTATAATAGTATTTACCTTGTTTTGAGAAAATGAAATTGAATGGTGCACATATGTTTATTTTCAAAATTTTGAATCATTGTTAGTTTGTATTTCTAATTGTTTGAGGACAAACAATGGTTCAAGTGTGGGGGTATTTTATATACTCATATTATATGATTTATTTTCTCAAAAGTATGATTATTATATGAATTTTTTACAGGTAAAACTTTTGTTAAAAAAATACAAGTTTGATAAAATTATGTATAAATAGTTATGCATGATTAATATGGATATGTTTAAAAATATTGGTTGATTTGTTATGCATTTTAGATGTTATGCTATATTAATATTAGTTATTACTTATACTTTTGTGGGTGAAAAATAAATGGTTATAATTTTATCAAATTATTGATATTATGTGCATATATAATTGGAAAAGAGCACCATATAAGTCTTTTTTATTTTAAATTTTTTCAGCAAGATAAGGATAGGATTTAAGAATCACATAAGGAGAAAGGAGATTTGAACACCATATGCGTTTTTTTTTTTTTTTTTGCACAACTCATAAAATACATATTCATGGCTGGATACGGGTTCTCTACATGAACTTGAAAAAAGCAGGAATGCAGATGGAAGCAATGAAACAAAAAGTATTGGGCTCGAGCTAATAAGATCAAGAAGAGTTATTATTGAGATGAATTCAATCGCATTTGCAGCATATGTGTGTGTGTATATATATATATATAATTTTTACTCATCTCTCAAAAAAAAATTCAATTGTTGGTGTGAAATTCATAAAATCTCTTTGGTAGATCATATTTTCATCAATAAGGAAATTTGTAGGAGTGCGTCAAATTGTTCTTCCTAATCTTGGCTAAGCTCCACTTAATTTTAATTTTTACTTCCTAGATTTTGTCCGAAACAATATTATGTAGATTATTCATTGGTGGTACTTGAAAGTAATTTAGCAGTCGAATCTGTCATTCTTCACTTTCTCCATTAAATATGGCCACTGACAATTCAATTTTTCCAATGTGCAAGCTGCTCTATTAAATTTGGCTATTATAAATCTATTTGCTAATTTTAGCCCTTTGAATTTGTTAGCTATGGTTTTAATTTTCTAAGTTTAATTTATCAAAGTTATAAATTGCATCCCTAGAAAACCAAGACAATTTGTTAGCACGACAATTTCTTAGTTATTTCCTGACTTTATAAAATATATGCATACTTCCGAACCATTTTATTAATAATTATTTATTTTGTAATAGAATGCACGACATGCAAGGAACATAACTAAGAAATTGATTCGTACCTCCTAAAATTCATTAAGCCAAGATCATCCCTCGTTAAATGGTGAACTAAGAGATAATTTCTAAATTAGCAAGTAGATTTATAAATTAATTTGGAAGCAGCCTTAAGAGCGTGGAATTGCACATCAAGCACCAAAACGACGACATTTAGCAGCTGAAATCAGGAGTTGATTTGTTTTTGTTAAAACTATTATTCGGTGGTTACAATCACCGACCTAATTTTGGGTGCATCAGACTGAATCTGGAAATATTAAGTGTATAATGGATTTGCTCTCATTCTCGAAGTACGAGTAATCGATCCTCTTAGCTTGCTTCAAGAAAACATATCCTGTTGTAGAGTTACTTCTTCCAAGAAAGGAGAGATACAAATTTTTGATCAATATGGGAAAAAGAAAATTAGAAGTCAAGAAAATTGAGGACAAGAAAAAGCAAAGGGATACATTTGAAGCAAGGCAACAAGGGTTGTTTAAGAAGGCCCGCCAACTTGTCCAATTATATGATGCAGGGGTAGCATTGATCACCATCTCTGAAACTGGAAAAATCTCTGAATATGGTAATCCTACTCTTGATTCTATCCTCCAGCGTTATCAAGAAGCCAAGAAAGGTGAAGCAGCCGCAAAAGCTAGCAATGATGTTCAGCCACAAGCAGAGAATCTTCCCAAACATGATGCTGATGAAACAGAGGAAAGCCCTGATGATGATGATCAGAACACTTCTGATCAAGAAATATGAGATTACAGTGAAATGGTGAAAAAGCCAGGGAGTCTAATTGCAGATTCAAAGATGAGTTCCTTATCAATGAATTAATGCCTGCTTGAAATGGAGTTCAAGGAACTTAAGCAACTAAGGATGCAGATGGAAGAGAAGAAAAATGTGGTGTTGGATCGAGCTAATCAGATCAAGAAGAATATGATGCCTGATCAGATGGATTTATCAACGACATTGACTTTGCCATTGCCACTGAGGACTAGTCCAGAAAAAGAAGATAAGAGCCCTGGCATGATGATCAAGCAGAAGCTTGAATCTAGAAACGGTTTGGCTATTCGTTTGCCTGCAGGGGGGAGCCAAAAGGATGCTACTGATCAAGAAGTACAAGATACTGGGAATGTGGTGAAAGAGCTCGGGAATTCCGCTGCAAACTCAATTATGATGCCTAGCTTGTTTAGAGATGTGCCCCCACTCTACCAACTTGAGGTAAATTTCTTGAACTTAACTTGGTATTTTACATTCATCTTTTGCATATCTTATGAAGTTATTGATACACTTTGAATGTTGAATTTGTGATGTTATTTGTTGGTGTATATAAGATCCTTTATGCTTATTTAACATCTCTAAGCATGTTTAGATGATCAAATGTGGGAATGTGATGATCTATGCAATGTTTCACTTTATACGCATTCCTATTTTATGATCAATGTGGTACTTGGTCTTGGAATGTTGTTAAGCATAATTGGATGGTTCAAATTGCTAAAATGTGACTTGTTCATGATGCTTACACGTATACATTCATTATATGGTGACATTTTAGCCATTT